AGTAATCTAACATTTCATATATTTAATACATATTTAATATAGTACTCTAACATTTTATATTTAATACAAAATTAAATACAAACTTAATACAAAAATAAATACCTAATTCAAACCATACATTCTACTACAAACCTATTGTACTTCAATTAAATACAGTAATCAAACTATTTCATATTTAATACAAACCTTTGAATACAGATAAAACAAATGTAATAATTAAAAAGTACAAAGATAATACCTAATAAAAATACCATGCATGCAAGAATGCGTATATACAAAAGTATTAAAAATAACCGTGCGTGTTTTATCAGTGTTTAACGAACATATAAGAAAATTTTATAATTACATGATTATGTCAGAGTGTGTGTGTGTGTGTGATATGATGAAATATAATAAACATGAATCGATAATTATTGCAAGATACAAAATACTAACTGGAAATACATTAATTCAACTTACAATGATTTTCATTGGTCCATTAACCTGTCGCATAACTTCATTATAATTACTATACTTATATACACTTTTCACAGACATATTTTATTATTTTTAATTTGATATTTCTATTCAAGTTCAAGGTACTAGACTAGTTAAACGTGATTACATTTTTTTTCTCTTTCTCTAATTTATTTTTATTATATTTCTCGTATAATCTTCTCTTAAAGAGAAGGAGGAGGAGGAGAAGGGGGGTCATTGTACTTTAAAAGGAAACGAATAAAGAAGACACAAACGAAGAATTATCTCTGAAAGTATCATAACTTATATTACGTTGTGGCTTCAGGGTCATAGGTAATCTTTCTCACGACGTTGTTTCGTGAGAGAAGGAAAATAAAAAAATTAATAATAATTCCACTTCAATAGAATTTTTCGAATTAAAAATTTAATATCTTCTTCGTATTTTAATTATATTCAATTGTTATTATTATTATTATTATTATTGTAATTAAAAACAAACTGTGCTATGATAATAATACTTTTATTGCAACGATTATCATATTAATCTCGTTAAATGTAATACTTGAAAAATGATACTCAATTTAAATCCATTAAGTTTTATTGGTCGTAACAATTATTATACAAATGTTTTTTTGATTAAAAAACATTTGATAACATAGATATATCAAAGATGTTGAATTCAAAGAAAAAAAACAAGATATTAATATACTAGTCATAAAATTTCATATTAACTCACAATGAAGAATTTAATTCATCATTTGTATTTCACTCTCACTTACATTAGATGAGAAACCAGGATATCCTTTCATTCTCTTATCTCTTTTCATCTTTTATTTATATACCTTAATAATATATTTTTCTCTCAGATACACACACATTTGTTTTTATGCACTAATATACTTTGATTGTATTATATTATTAGAGAAAAATTTGATGTAGTTTGCGTATTGTATCGATCAATTAATTTTATTCGTCGTGAGAACAGATAAAAAGAAAAGAAAAAAGGAAATAAATAGGAAGTCGATACTTATTAAATAAATGGGGAAAGGAAAAAAAAGGAATAAAATAATAATAATAAAAAAATATATATATATATATATATATATATATATCTCTCTCTCTCTCTCTCTGTCTTGTGAGTTTAGTTTTATGAATAGATGTTAACGAACTGTAAAGTGAATAAAAGTATTCATGGGTTAAAGATCGATTTTATGGGGGTCGGTCGTTTAAAGACAGCTGTGCATGCCGACAAAGCAACCTCGCACGATTCATCGTTCTTCTTTAGTTCTTCCTATCACGGAACCAATCCTTGATTCCACTTCTCCCCTTCTATTTCTTTCATTGAAAAACAAAACAAGTAGAAGAACAGGTACTGGCGTAACGAATGTAGAGTAGAAATGGTTGACTTTAATGTAACGTTTAAGTACAATGTTTTTATCTTCTCTTGGAAAAATAATTAACAATAAGTTAAATTATGTTTATATATATATATATATATTTCTTTTTTTATTATTCATATTGGGATCATTCATTGCATTTTATTAGTTTTGTTCGTATTAATGAATGAATTAAATGATTCAAGTACTAGTAGGAGATTCAAGTATTAGTATTAATGAATGAATTAAATGATTCAAGTACTAATGGGATTAAAGTATTAGTATTAATGAATGAATTAAATGATTCTAGTACTAGTAGGATTCAAATATTAGTACTTTGTAACATAATATATTTATTAGTTCTAATTGTAAGTAGAATTGTTTTGATGTATTTCAAATCATTGAAGTGTATCTCACATTTTAGTACTCAAGTATGAGTATATAGTAACTAAAAATTAGTTAGATCTATATATTCATTAGTTCTAAGTATAATTGTTTTGATGTATTTCAAATTATTAAGGTGTACCTTACAGTTTATTATTCAAGTATTAGTATTTAGTAACTAAAAATTAGTTAGATCTATATATTCATTAGTTCAAGTGTAATTGTTGAATGTATTTAAAATTATTAACCACTTTCCATACTTTAGTACTCAAGTATTAATATTAAATAACTCAAACTTAGAATTAAATCTACATATTTATTAATAAGAAGTATATTTGTTTTGATGTATTTCAAATCATTGAAGTGTATTTCACATTTTAGTACTCAAGTATGAGTACATAGTAACTTAAAATTAGGTAGATCTATATATTCATTAGTTCTAAGTATAATTGTTTTGATGTATTTCAAATTATTAAGGTGTACCTTACAATTAATAACTCAAAATATGATAGATCCACATATTCATTTGTTAAAAATATAATTGTTTGGATGTTTTTAAACTATAAACCACTCTCTACACTTTAGTACTCAAGTATTAATACTTAATAACTCAAACTTAG